ATGAGGTTAATTAATTAGTCCAGTAAATCTGACACTATTAGTTTGTAACATTCCTAACTATGAGAGAGGCATATTCTCCAAGAGTGTCTATCAGCTGAAAACAACACCCCTGGATACAAAACCTTCAGGCGGCAGTAGAAAATGAGCACAGGAAAGGCGTGCAGAGCTGGGATGTCAGCAGTGAACAGAAAATGCCAAAAGAAAATGACATTGCACTTGGGCTCTGGGCTCAAACTGCAAAGTTGCACTCTACCCTGGCTGCTGTGAGGTGTACAACTCCAAACTGAACCGAAAGAAGCAGCTGACTCAACCGATTCTTGAGTATATTGACATTGAGCTGTTCATAAAGCTGATCACAGCAGCACATTTTCAATCGTTCAGTTGATTTTTCTGATAATTTCATTTGAATTATATTTATTATAATTCATCATGGATCACGCCTGTCTGAACAGGCGTTAAGATCATTGAACAAATACCATTAAACTGTTTAGTGTGTGTATTGGGGTGTAAAATGTGTTTTGAATACTTTTCCTTTTTTCAGCCTCATCCCTCTTTTGTACTTTTGACGACTTTCATCAAAGAAAGTAAGGGTCCTAAAAATTATACCTATGTTGACAAAAATTTGAACTTTACTTTTGCAACAAAATACAAACGTCCATGATATAAAACAATGGAGCTTCATTTCTTTAAAAATACCCCAAAAATCGCGCGTTTCCAGGGAATAGCGCACATAAAATAGGTGGCGTTCTAAGGGAACGCAAATCGTGAAAGCCACGCGACGCGTAAAGGTTAAATGTGTTACATGTACATGTATAAGAGTCCATAGTGCCAATATTGTGTGCAGCTGGAATAACCTTTAGTTGAGATTTACATTCCTTACCACACAGTGAGGTTATTTGAGAGACGCCATCTCAAATTTCAACATCAGACTCCTATAAAACAGTTACAACATTGACTTCATGTGAGCCAGGTATTAAAGCCCATCGAAACTGAAACAAAATGGTTTTACTGGTTTCATATCGTCTCATGTGGGGTTTGAGTCAGGGAGGACCTTCTGCTTTGCAGGCGAGTGACTTAGTCATCAAATTAGACTAGATTATGGAGATTTAGAACTTGATATGGAGACACGACATTTGTACTTTGTGGTACAGTGTATTCAGTTAAATTCTTCAGAAAACTGGCTTTTCTCGAAACAAGACCCTTTTCCCAATTCCACAGGAAAACGCCAATCTGTGAAAAAATTTAAAGTTGAAACAGCGATTATACACACAAACAATGGGTAACAGTTAGATGAATCAGTTGGTGATTAATTTGAATCTGGAGCCATCTCAAGCTTTAAAGTAAATTTAAAGGCCTATTTCTCAAAACTGGAGTGCATGGACATATGACAGTTGTACTCTGGGCCGACGAATGTAGACACTCATGAAATCACTTTGTGCCCAACATTCGATAGAGTTCCATTGCCACCTAAGACCCTGTTCCCACAAGCACTGATTACATAAGCTGTCCGGCTTACAATCAGTCTAACAAGAGTGTGTGTGTGTGGGGGGGGAGGGTCGTTCTCAGTCAGAAACTAAAATAAACTCATGGCAACTGTGAGTCGAGTTTTTTGTTTGTTTGTTTTAAAAAAATGTTTTGTACCTATAAACAGGACTAAAGAGCGGTTAAAAATTCGTGGCGCAACTTATTGTCAAATATCTCCTCAACTATCGAACATAAACTCTCCATCTTTTGCACAGTGACTTGTATCAATTTGTCTGAACAGATCGATATTTTTGTAAAGATCTGTAGGCTCTACTCTAGAAAATTCTGTAATAAATACTTAACAAAAAATTCTAGTAGGTGGTTACTATTTATTTTAGAAGGTTTACAGCTGGGACAATATTCGCTTTTAAAAGCAAGTCCGTCATTTTTTTTTTTCTAATCTCGAGATTATCTTTATTGAACCCATCTTTTGAGAATTTTTAGTGCAAAAAAGTGTTCACTATAAAATTAATTTCTTGTAACTAGTTTTGCTGCTAAAAAGTGTCATTAGTGAGCTGTGATGTAACCCATGCGTATACAATGTGTGTGAGAAGCGGGAAGTGCTGTGAACAATTCTATTTTCCGCATGAAAGAGGTTTGTTGTATTTTATATAAATTTATGAAGAAAAGTTTGTTTTTAGTCTAGCCTAAATTGTTGTGGAAAATATGATTAAGTTAAGACAAATTGAGACAAACTGCTGTGCAAAATATGGGTGACATTGATTCTCACGTTATGAAGATATGTGAGGATAAGTTGCGCCACGAATTTTTGACCGCACTGTAGTTTGGTAATGACATCACAACTGGCCATGAAAGAGTAGATCAAGACGGCTAAATTGAAAACCAAATTGAAAATAATACTAATATAGGATGTATTAATATTGTCATCTTTGCTGTTTGGCCTTCTGTTCGTGTATTCATATATATGCATAAATTTAAATTGCCTACTGCAGGTTTAAGAGTTAAGTTATATTTCGCGTTTTCCCCGAAGTACGAATAAAATATTGAATTGAATTAGATATTTTATCCATTATTGGGGTGGATGTATAAAATACATGTAGCGCATGATGTGATATCGGGAATTCGGGAATTCAAAAACAAATTCTTAACCAAGCGATGCTGTTTCAGATAATACATGG